TTTTATCACCTTCTTTGCTTTTTTATTTCTTCCTCTGTCCTCACTTACATTTATTTAATATTTATTGAACTGTATAAGAATTGTGGAGTTGTTCATGCTAAAACAATCCCATCAGAATGATCTGTTCCTTTTATCTATTTCCTCTGTCCTTATAGAAAGTATAACTCTCCAATTAGATTTTGTTGTTTTGGCTCATCTTACTTTTGTCTATTTGACATGAACATGACTGTATTAATATTAGCTGATATTTTCTTATGGGTGTAGTAATCCTGTGCCTATTTCTCCATTAATTTATTCTTCCATCTATCCATTTACCCATCATTCATCTGTCCAACTTTTCATCCCAGCTTGCCCAATTTATTTGAGATGAGCCCACATGTTTAATTTTATCACTACTTCTTATAATTAGTTGTCTTTCTAGCCACAGGATAAATAATACTTTTGAGTTATATATGATGAATAGCTGCCAAATACTCGTTGTCAGCCTTGTCCCTCCAGGATGATCATTTTGTTAAGCTACTTCCTCTGTCATTTCATAAAACTATAAAATGATATTTTAAAATAGTACCATATAATCAAATCGTCACAAAACACTGGAAAAGAATTAGTAAACCTCTTGAAACTTGAGTCTTCATGTTCTTAATGGTTGCCCTCTTAATTAACGGCTGTGAGTTCCCACCTGCTGTCCAAATCATTGTTCCATTTTCTCACTTAATTTTTGTACAACCTCAAACCCTCCCCACTTTTTCCTCCTCAGAGCTCTGCGGTGCTTTCCACCTCCCTTCTCTCAGAATGTATTTCAGTGCACCATTTAACTGAAGGAGGACTGAGAAGAAAGGCTGTGCTCTTTGTGAAAAACACTAGAGTCTTCTTGACAGGGAGGGGCTAGAAAATAAAAGGAGCAGGCTGTTAAAGTGTGAGCTGTGCTTGAACACATCCTAAAACGATTCAATTGTCTGTTCCGGATATAAATTATAAGCTGAGTGATTTAAAGACAACTCCCACTGACTATTAAAGTGGGAACTGTTGAGTTAGCCAGATCTGAGTTTTCTGTGAACTGCTTCTTTATGAATCACAGTGCTAACTGTTCGAGCCGAGTGACAGTAAACAAAAGTGAGATTTAAGAAGTGCCTAGAGGATGCATGAGTCACGATAATTCCGTACTCTAGTTCTGCCTCCAGATAAAGCTTACTAGTAAATTATGAACACATTAAACATCGCTGCTTATGCATTAATAAATACTGAAACAAAACAAAATGAATTATCTCCCCTTCAGCCTGACTATTGCAGCCAACCTAGCTAACACGTATCACTCAGTTTCGGCAAGAAGATATGCCTAGTTTTAGATGAAACAGCAACGACAAACTCTGCATTTATTTAGTAATAACTCATTAGAGTCTCAATATTTGTAGAAAGAGCAGGTCTTATAAAATGCTGAATTCTCCAAAATTCTCAAATATTCTATACCTCTAAAAGAAATTATCATAACAATAACATTAAAGGGGTAGGAGTCTCCTGATGTTTCACCTAAATAAAAAAAGAATTAAGAATCCTGAAACCTCTGATTCTCCCTGCCCCCTCCCAGCTGATTCAATGTCTCGTCACTGCTTGGTTTCCAGCTCTAAGTACACTGATTTTGAAGTCCATGCTGAAGAAACCCTTTGTGTTCCTGCTTTTCTCCTTGCCATATTTGGAAACGTGCAACGCTGAATGCAGTAACGGAATCTGTGGTAGAGACTAAACACCCTATACTACACCTAAGCTCCTCCTCAAATTCTAACTGGGAGGCCTTAAGAAAGTCCATTGGTGTGGTCCTAATTCCTCACATACACGTTTGAAGGGAGAATCCTGAGTCCAGTGGCACACGCAATGCATCAACTAACTTTTAAAAGGATAGCCTTAGAAGAACCAGAACGCTGGTATCGCCTTAAGGAAAGAAACCTTCAGAACCGCTCTGTGGATTACCTTGAACAAAAGTGAACCCACAATTGAATCATCCTCTTCTCTCCCTGTATTTTCCATCTGTCCTCCGTTTGTGTTGCTGGCTTGTCTGTAGTCTGTCTGTTGTGTGTATCTTATCCGTCTCTATTGCCTGTGTGTTCCAAACAACAGGCATTGCTCTGTATTTACTGAACAACCCAGAAAACATTGCATGTGGGGGTTGAGGAATAGAGGATTCTTTACAGGCATCTTTTTTTGTTTCATTTTGTTTTCTTCAATACAGGGTTTCTCTGTGTAGCCCTAGCTGTCCTAGAACTCCCTCTGTATACCAGACTGGCCTTCTAGATTTGCCTGCCTCTGCCTCTGCCTCCAGAGTGTTGGGATTAAAGGCTTCTGCTACCACTGCCCTTCCTTACAGACATCGTTAGCAGTTTAGAGAGGAAGTTGTTATATAAGATTGTTTCTGACCTTTTAGTTGGGTTCGGAATATGATTACCCCATTCATACACAGATATTGCTCTGAGACAGTACATGGAAGAGTACATGGAAAAACCCAAAAGAAGTAAGATTGGTTATATCGTTGTTTTCTTAAAGGCAGGTTAAACAAGTAGGCTAAATACACAGCAGGATACCAGGCCAAGTCATATATATATAATTTTATTTTATTTTTTGAGACAAGGTTCTCTGTGGCTTTGGTGTCTGTCCTGGAACTAGCTCCTATAGACCAGGTTGGCCTCAAACTCACAGGGATCAGCTTGCCTCTGCCTCCTGAGTGCTGGGATTGTTTCCAGGCCAAGTCTTAAGTGACCTCAATGTATGTTGTGAACTTGGCTGTGACGGTCAGCAAATGTTCCCATTTCTTTCAATGTAAGAGATATTTTCATAAAGTTGTATCACCGCAGAACAGTCTGGAGAGGCACAGCTTCACAGTGGTGATGTATGACCCAAAAGCTTTGGCTTGCACCTCTAAAAGCAGAGGAGTAGAGTCTGGAACAATGGCTCAGTGGTTAAGAGCATTTTCTGCTTTTATAGAAGACCTGGGTTTGATTCCCAGCAACCACAAGGCAGCTCCGGGGTTCCTGCTGCCCATTCCTGACGTCCAAGGGCTCAGACATGCAGGTGGAGCCCATACACACACTCAGGCACATACATATACCCATAAAAAGAATCAATGAAAACAGAGAACCTAGCCACCATTTTCATTTTCCATGTTTAGCTTTCTTCTCTGCCTGCCCAGGGAAACTGGAAATGGGGTGACATGCACCCCAGCACTCTACGTCAGAACTTCATTAGACCTTTTACAGCTTTGCCGACACAGAAGAGGGCATTTTACAGTCAGGGTTACAGTTGCCTTCTCTTCTCATCCTGACTGGGAGCAGGCCATTGTATTTGACCACATTTTTATGTTCTGTGCCCTACATTTCCACATTTGCTCTTTCTTATTTCCTCAAATCTGAGTTCAGTTGGAGTGGGGAGCCTCATTGTCCCGGCTACTTCTGCCCAGTTCACAGTCTTCATTGCTTACCTGTTCCAGCACCTAGGGTGCCCAGTTCTTCTCATACAGCTGCTCAAATCTTTCCTGGCTCCTTGCCGTGCTTGCACTATTACACACTTTCCCTTCTTCACCCATCTATCAAGTGTGACACTGGTGTGATATTTTAATCTACAAAGTCCAGGTTTCATAGTGAAATCATCAAACAAGTCACAACAGTTTTCATTCGTTTGTATATACAAGCAATCCTGTCTCGGGCGGGGGACCGGTTATGTAATGGTCAGAGGATGGCCCTGGTCATCTTTAATCATGCTACAAAGCCCACACTTCATAATCAAGTAACCAAATAAGTCACATTTCTTCCCTTTGTGTGTGTGTGTGTGTGTGTCTTGTGGTGGGGGGATATATGGAGGCCAAAGGTTAACACTGGGTCTTACTTAATCATGTTCCACATTATTTTGTATAGAATCTTTCACTAGCCCTGAAGACTGTGAATTCAGCTAAACTCTCTTTCTAGCAAGCTTCAAGAATCTTCCTGACTCCACCTCCCAAGCAACAGAACTATACGGCCAGGCCATATTTGTTGTTTTTGTTGTTGTTGTTTATGTGGGTATCCAGGATCCTCACAACTGCATGGCAGACACTTTACAAGTTGAGCCTTCTTTCTAACCCCTCTTGATGTTTTAGGTAATTTATCATTCTGTGTTGAGCTGCCTGCATATCTACCCTGGTAACATGCAGCCCATGGGCCACTGTTAGGAAATACTTGGAACTATCCAATCCAAAGACAGAAGAGCTTCAAATTCTGTGTAATCTAGTAGTGTAATCATTAGTCACATGCGACTGTTAGTTACATGCTTAAAATGTGATTGAGCATGTGAATTCAAATTTGACTTAATTATCGCTCCTGTGGTCAGTGCTAATACATTGTGTAGTATCAGCTCTTGGCCCCATTAGCTCAAATGTCACTTTTTACTAAGTAGGGGGTTAAATTATTAAAATGACGCTGAGAACATAAAAAAGAGATTTTCAAAGCCCCTTTCTTGGAGTTTCTTATTAATTGGTATGGGCTTGCATCGGAACGTGAATGTTTTGGAGGATTCTCCCAGAGGTTGTAATAAGCAGCCAGGGTTGATAGCCATTGCTCTAGTCTCTACCTCCACAGTCCGATTCGCAATACTTGCTTGATATTCCAGAGACACTGTGGAACAGTCAGCATCATCAAAGTTAGCATTTCTCTCTCTTCTTACCTCCACGTTTCTTCACTGTATGATGAAATGCTTCCATTTCATCTACTGAATTAACACTGTGGGGGGCAGGCTGGGTAGAGTGTATGATTGCACCATTTCACCTATTATGTATATATATTTGAGATAATTCATACTTTATAAACCTTCAATGAGGCTATGCTTGTGTGAGCTTGTATGCTATGTCAAAACCATCAACTTTAATTAAAGTTGTATATCAATAAAAGACTTCTAGGCTAGACTGTAAATTCTGAAAGGGCAAGGACTGCTACTATTCATTATCCCACCCATAGTACTCCATACGCAGTATGTCACAGAGGCAGTGGATTAATCATTCTTTAATGAATAATTTACCCCCAAGAATTTAACCCAAAAATTGCATTTGAAACCATAGCCATATAGTACCTTCATGCAAATCATCTATATTCTTGAAAAATATCAAAATGGTAGATCTTCTTGAGCTGAATTCATGTGTGCCATGTGTGTCACATATGATGTGTATGCACGTAAGAGATGCATGATTCCTCTGAACAGATGTAAGGGAATCCAGCAGTTGCTGCGTACACTGAAGAATCCTGCAGCAGCTCCTGGTTGTGCACAGCTGGTTGCTTTGCTCTCCATCACTGACGTCCTGGGAAATATGGTATTAAGACGGAGAGAACAGATGGTGCAGGGTGTGTTACTTGAGACGGTTTTGCCAGGAGGTAAATTTATGCTTTATAAATGTACTTCAAAACTGTGCTATTTGATTTAATCACTTAATGCAAAGACAGCTGCATACTATATTTGCCTTAACTGCGGTTATATGGGTTATCTGCCAATCTGTTAATTATAGTATTTTGAAAGACTTTTGGAGGAAAAAAAAACAGTAATTATACAGATTGGGGTGGGGGAAAGGAGTATTTTTTGAAGCCTAAATTCAGACATTCGTTCCAGCTAACATAAACTTATTGACGCTTTAGAAAATCTGTTAAGAAAATGGGAATCAATGGGATAGCTCCTCTTTGAATTACCTGTGTGTTCTCACTGCCTAGGTTACCATGGTGACTGCAGTGAGCGGGTGTGGAGTGATCCCTTGGCAGACCAGCGCTTCAGGCTGCCCTCTAAGGTTTTCTGGCGACTGCTCAACCCTCTCAAAGAAAGAGGAGGAGGTTCAAACTTGATTCTGTCCTTGACATTCTCCTATTTTCCCACACCCTTTCTCTCTCAGCCTTCCATGCTCTTCTCCCTGCTTATGGTTTCAGTAATGATTAGCCAGATTTAAGAAACGCTGGACTGGGGAAGGGGCACATTTTAAGCTTAGTCACACAGCTTAGTCTTATTCCATTTAAGATTTATAAAATAAAAGAGCCTTTCTTGCTGAACACTAAATGCCACACACTTGCAGAAAAGTCTGGCCTATTTCCCTTACCCACTGGGAAGTCGTGTTCAATGAATTTCATTGTCTTTTGAGATTTCCTGTCTGTGGGCAGTGCTGGGATAAAAGGCTGAATCAAACTGCACATCAAAGAACTGTGAGAAAACATTAACGCCTATCCGGTCAAAGCCTCTTACTGAACAGGGGAAGAAACTGAGGACTCATATTATTTTTTTTTGAGAATACAGTTTAATTATACATTTCTGCCTGCCATTTTTGCCTTCCAAACTCTCCAATATACCTATCCTTGCTCTCCTTTAAATGCATAACTTCTTTTTTTATTGTTTTCCCATGTGCATGTGTATGCATATATATATATATATATATTTCATGCATACATATATATACATACACACATTTGTATATATACATAGATATAAAATCTATTGAATATATATATTCGATAGATAATAGAGAAATAGAGAGATATGTATATACATAGATACTCCTAACTATAACCTGTTGAGTATATATAATGTTGACTGTACATGCTTTTTAGGACTGACATTTTGACACTGGACAACCAATTGCCTACCCTGAGGAGGGTCACTACTTCCACTCCCAGTTTTCCTCAGTGACTTGTAGATCTTTGTGTAGGTCGAGACCTCATGGGCTTCCACCTTTGAGTTTGGCCTGTAGTAGGGAAGCCGCTTGTTTTTCCCGGCCGCCTGGCTAGCTTAGACCTGAAAGAAACTGTATTAATTAAATCACTGCTTGGTTCATTATCTCTAGCTTCTTATTGGCTAACTCTTTCATATTAATTTAACCCATTTCTATTAACCTGTATATTACCACAAGGTTGTGGCCTACCAGCAAAGTTTCAGCATGTCCATCTCGGGCAGTAGCTCCATGGTGTCTCTCTGACTCTGCCTTTCTTTCTCCCAGCGTGCAGCCCAGCTTTCCCTGCCTACCTATGTTCTGCCTTGCTATAGGTCCAAAGCAGTTTCTTTATTCATTAATGGTAATCACAGCACACAGAGGAGACTCCCACATCATTGGCCTAGTCATTGGTGTCATTCTTGTTCAGCTCACCTGTGGGCAGTCGTGTGGGTGAGACTTTATGGGTACAGCTTCTGGTGTTGCTAGGGGACACAATCACACAACAGACTCCCCAGTCCTCTGGCTCTCTCTGCCCCTCTTCTGCAGGGTTCCCTGAACATTAGATGCAGGAGAGAGTGTTGTGTAGAGGTATCCATCAGGACTGGACTTCACAGTTCAGCGTTTTTATTGGCTGTGGTTTTCTATAATGGTTTAAGTCTGTTGCAAAAAGAAAGTTTCCTGTGCTCGCTTCGGCAGCACATGTACTAAAACTGGAACGATACAGAGAAGATTAGTATGGCCCCTGCGCAAGGATGGCACGCAAATTCATGAACCGTTCCATATTTTTAAGTAGACAGGATTTCCATGCAAAACTTGGGTGCACGGGGAGGGGGTGGATATAAGGAGAGATGGGTAGAGAGAGGGGAGAAGGGGAGGATTGGGGAAAGCTTGAGGGAATGGGATGGGTGGAATGGAGGAAGGGTGGATATGGGAGCAGGGAAGTAAATATCTTAATTAAGGGAGCCATTTTAGGGTTTGCAAGAGACTTGATTCTAGAGGGGTTCCAAGGTTCAAGGAGAGGTCCCCAGATTGTTCCTTGGGCAGCAAAGGAGAGGGGGCCTGAACTGGCCTTGTCCCATACCCACACTGATGAATATCTTGCCTATCACCATAGAACCTTCATCTGGCGATGGATGGAGATAGAGACAGAGACCCACATTGGAGCACTGGACTTAGCTCCCAAGGTCCAAATGAGGAGCAGAAGGAGGGAGAACATGAGCAAGGAAGTCCGGACCAAGAGGGGTGCGTCCACCCACTGAGACACTGGGATGGATCTAATGGGAGCTCACCTAGGCCAGCTGGACTGGGAGTGATGGAGCATGTGATCAAACTGGACACTCTGTATGTGGCTGGCAATGAAGGCTGACGGAGAAGCCAAGAACAATGGCACTCGGTTTCGATTCTACTGCATGGACTGACTTTGTGGGAACCTGGTTTGTTTAGATGCTTACCTTTATAGACCTGGATGGAGAGGGGAAGACCTTGGACTTCCCACGGGGCATGGAACCCTGACTGCTCTTAGGACTAGAGACGGAGGGGGAAGTGGGGAGGGGGAGGGAAAAGGGAGGCGTGGAGAAGGTGGAAACTTTTAATAAATGAATAAATAAATTTGAAAAAAAAGTTTCCTTAATGAGGGGTGAAGACTACCTGTTATTATAAGGACAAATGTTTAAAGATTATCATTAGGAATCGTTCTGGTTTAATATATTAGTGGTTGTGGATTAGCTTTTGTATTAGTTGAAGAAAAATGGGGACACAGCCCTCAGTTGTCCCCTTTAGTAGTCTGAACACATAACTGGCTGGAGCCTCCTTTTCCACAGCTTTCAGTGCAACCCAGACTGAGACTCAGGACCCTGGGACTGAGCATCACAACCTGAAAGGACATAGAGTGCCTACTTTGTGCTAACCTTGGAGATGAATACTTTCCAAATAACATCTCAATGTAAACTTCTACCCCGCTATGGTGTAAGTGTTGTTTTATGCATTCTACTGGGTAGGCAACTGGCTTTCAGAGTGAAGATACTCTACTTAACGTCACACTGTAAGTTTCTAATGGAGTCTCACAGTCAGATGTGGGTTTGTATCTGGACCAAAGGTCTTACATTCCCCAGAATGTATGATTCTTTTTGGAATCTTTTTTCCAAATCCTTTTTTTTTAAACCAGCTCTGAAAGGTCCTGTTTTGAAGCACATCTATGGCTTGTTACTCCTAGACAATCTTCTCCCTCAGAATTCATCTAATGAATATGTCACAGGCCTATTACATAATGTTCAACATCCCTAGCTGGTAAACTGGTATGGGTTTAACCCAGGTCACCTTGAATCTCATCCACTTCTGTATCCTCCATCACATCATGTGCTGCCTACATATGAAGGAAACCATGGGAGCCAGTGAGCCCAAAATGTGACTGACTCCAACTCTTTGTGGAAGCCAAATGACAATGACACTGCCAAATAGAATAAGAGGGGCACTTCCAGCTTCTGAGGCTTTGGAAACCATCTTAATCATATTTCATCGATGTGAGTTCTGTTTTAATTGCATAGACCGTTCTATGTCTTGCTAAGACTATTAAGACCAAAGCAGGCCTGGCATGGTGGCTCACGCCTTCAATCCCAGCACTTAGGAGGCAGAGGCAGGTGAATCTTGGAGTTAGAGGCCATCCTGGTCTACAAAAGGAGTCCCAGGACAGCCAGGGGTAAACCAAGAAACGCTGTCTTGAAAAAACAAACAAAAATTCAAAACAAACAAAAAAAGAAAACATCAAAACAGGGCCAGATGCAACCTCCCTAGGTCTTTGCCTCTCTGCTTTGAGACCTTTATTTATATAACAAAGACCAATGTTTTATTAAATTTCTAGCATGTATATCTATGGTTAATGACAATATTCTTGTTTTATGGCCATGGCCATGATTTTTATTAATATTATTTGGCTTCCATCCAATTGTGTTCCTTTTCTGATATTTTGTAATATTGGTAATTTTAAAAAGACAGACAAACAACAAACACATTAGTCTTCTCTAATGAGGAGACTTAACCTGCATCAGTCAAGAAAAGCTTGTGCATAGAAAGTCCTTGAGCTGAAAGGGAGAAGAGACTTCATTACTCATGCTGAAAGTTAGGGAGGAAGGAAGACTGTACTCTTAGGGAATTAAACAGCTGCCAGGGAAGATCTGTCCTTACTCCAGTGCTGTTTGCTTTCTCTAGTTGAAAATGTACCTTTGCTCCTAGCAGGTCAGGTCAATGCTGAGGGATTTCCCAGCCCCATAGAGAACTGCAAGGCAACTCCTGGTACCATCCCATTCTTCAGCAGTGCATGACAACATCCCCAAACACCACGTTTTCCAATGTTTTCCACTGTCATCAGGCATAAGAATCTGTCTGGCTTCAGTCATTCTATTTTTGAAGGTGTTTGATTAGACCAGGAATGATAGCAATTATCCAAACAGTGAAAGACCTGCTTTATACACTGTGTTTTCCCCTATTTTTATATTATTTTTAAACTCTACAAAATATCATTGAAATGAAAGACAAAACATCAGAGCCACTCAAATATCACAAAACTAGCAAAGTGAATTCAAGAGAAAGAACATTTTTTTTTAATAAACGATGATGGAAATTTGTCTGTATATGTGTAAAAGTATAGTTATAGACAAGATTCACACTTTCCTCAAAATACAAACAAACAAACAAAAACAAAACCGAAATAAATGTGAAAAGTAAAGGTGGAAAAGACTTAGAACACAATACAGGCTAGAATGCATATGAGCTTTTACATATGACCCAGAAATAAGAGAAAAAGAGTGGGGGGCTGGAGAGATGGCTCAGAGGTTAAGAGCATTGCCTGCTCTTCCAAAGGTCCTGAGTTCAATTCCCAGCAACCACATGGTGGCTCACAACCATCGGTAATGGGGTCTGGTGCCCTCTTCTGGCATGCAGGCATCCACATAGACAGAATATTGTATACATAATAAATAAATATAAAAAAAGAGAAAAAGAGTGATAAAATAATTAAGATCAATAAACATTATTAACGCAAGAAAAAGTTATAACAGATATCTCAACAAAGAAGATATATACATTTGAAGTACTATATATATTATTAGCAATATTTTATACATAATATATTAATATGTACTAGCACTATTACAAGATGTCAGAAAAGAAGAAAAGAAGAAAGCAAAAAACAGAAATAAAAATATTTGTAATATGTTGTAAAATAAACATATCAAAATTCTTATCATACTTCATGTCATTAGAGAAATTAAAATCTAAAATAATTATAAATTAACACCACATAAATATTAGACTGAGAAACGTCAAAACTGCTAGCAACATAAGAAGTAGAGAAATGGGGAATAAAGTCGTTTGCTTATGGGAATATAAAACGGTATTGTCACTTTGGTTGAAAATTTGTCATTTCTTCTGTATGTGAAACAGGTATATAGAACTCCCTGAGTCCATTTAGGTTTGCTCTAATGTGCAGGTGTCCAGGGATGCTCACTTGGGATCAGAGCACCTATGTGGGAGCTTGCCCCAGAAAGAGACTGTTTCTCAGCGAGTCGCCTTAGCTGTTCCTCTAGAGGTGGGACCATGTGAGATTTCCCCTTTCCATGTTGGCATGTCAATGCATGTGGTTATTCTGCTGATCTTGTTCAGGCAACTGCACTGCTGGGAGTTCACGGGTGCAACTTCTCTGCCACTATCTCCTAGCAGACTTCCTAGTCATCTGTTTCTTATGATCTTTCTCCTCTTCTGCGTTTTTTTTCTGAGTCTTGGTTGTTAGGTTGCACTGGAGATAAATCAATCTTATCCTCTGTATTTGACTAGTTGCAGATTTCTGTAATAGTTTCCATCTGGTGCAGAAAACAGCTTCTCTGATAAATGGTAAGAGCTGCAGTGTCTGTGGGCATACACAGTACGACTTTATATTAGGAAAATCACAGGAGACAGCTCTTCTCAGATCTATGATATCTCCAGCCATGTGTATTTGAGTAAGTTTATCATACACAACATGAACTCTCTCCAGCTGTGTGGGCTTTAAGTCCAATTAGCCCTTAGATACCTCCAAGATATAAGTGGCACTAGTGTACCATTGTGGATAGTTTGCCAGTCTAGCCATTTTGCGGATCATCTGACTAGATAAACCAATTGTTCCTCTCTTTTGGCAGCTTTTATAGAAACTTCCTGGATTATGAACGTCTATACTCTGAAAGGGCTGAGGCTTCCAGGTGGGGTCCAGCTCAGTTCTATTAAAGGCTGTGTTTGATATATGTGGCATCTTCTGCAATAAGCATTAGGGCCTTACCTTCAACTTCTGGGATGCAACCAAGGTCAATGACGATATTGTTTGGGGAGTCTCTTAGATTCTACGGACCAGGAAATCAAAGGGAGGTTTACTATACTTGGCACTTTTTTTTTGGTTGTTGTTGTTGTTAGCTAGTTTGTGACTCTTGTGCAGGGAGCATTATCATCCAATTGGCATCACGTTACTTAAATTAACTATATATCCATACATGTATGTACGTACTTATATATTTACTTTTAAGAAAATATAAAACAACGTTAAATGCCTTTTTCAATCATCTTAAATGGTCACCCCTCTATTTCCTCCATTCCTCCTTCATAACTCCCATGTCCTACTATCCCCCATCTACCCATGAAGTGAAAGAAGCCAGCCTAGAAAGATCACAAGCAATGAAACTCCAATAATTATGTGTCCAAAAACTCAAAGAAACATAAACAGTGATAGGATCAATCATTGCCAAAAGGGGGAAATAAATCAATGAAGCACGAAGAAATTTTAGGGTAAGGAAGCTATCATTTATAATGCTATAAAGCTGGCATTTTGCATTTGTCAAAATATAGAAATTTAACTTTAATATAAACTGTAAAATTCAGTTGATTGCATCAGTATTTTTTTTCACTAAGAGTGCAATTGAGGGTATGGTACGATGATTCAACATGTAAGGGTACTTGCCATCAAGTTTGACAACCTGGATTTGATTCAGATAACCCGCATGGTAGCAGGAGAGAACAGACTCCAACAATTGGTTCTTTCACCTCCATATGTGCACTGGAACATATGCAAAAACAGACAAAAACACATATAAACACACATACATGCACACATACACACACTGTACATATATACTTTTTTTAAATGTTAAAAGTAAAATATCCAGGAGACAAAACTTTAATTCTTTCTGTTGATTGTTCTAAGTTCTGCCCACTGGACAAGGATCTACTCTTGTCCACCATCATAAAGCAAGTTCATCATCTAGGCCTCAAGGCTTCACCCCTACCTGTGAGCAGTTCTTTAAGTTCAGCACTCTCCCCATACCAAGAAGTCCTACCCATACCTACAAATCATGACAAATTGTCTATGTGGGACGTCTTCACATGGGTGCCCCACTGGGAGTTCATGCAGTGCCCTCCTAGGACACATTACCATGGCTCTTGAGAAACAGAAACAGGGAGAACAAACCTTACCAGGGTTATTTAGTTTCTCCATTTGACTGTCTTTTGTTTGTGAGTTGGTTTGTATGTGTGTGTGTGTGTGTGTGTGTGTGTGTGTGTGTGTAATAGTTATTTGCTTGTTTAATTTTTGGTGGAACCTGCTTTTGATTTTGCATTTTATACTTAACATTTTAGTGTCTTAATTTCTCTAATATTTAATACCTCCTTAAAATTTTGTACCTTGTTAACTCATTATGTTTTCAACATCTTTCTCACCAAAATAGGCCTCCATTACTGTTCTTCATTGTTCTACACCTAAAAACGTCTTGTCTTCTACATTCAAAATAGATCAGCTGCTACCTCAACTTCCAACCCATATCTCTTCCTTACCATACTGAATACTCTCTTTCCTCCTTTTCCTATCCATTCTTTACTTTACTATTAAGAATCACATAAAAATATCTATCAATCAAACCAACCAGTATTGCAGTGTCCACAAAATAAGGAGTCACAGTGTAGAACAAAGAATACAATTTTATTATCTTCACTTTTATATTTGTATTTGTGCAATCAGATAAGATTGGACCCATTCCCTACGGCATATCTGTAGACTTTCATATTTCAAAAGTAGGAGTTACCCTATAAAAAGAATAATGTTTCTTCTAGAAGTCATAGGTAGCTGAAAAAAATGTCCATATCAGATGTGGAATACCTCCCTTAGAGATTTTGGTTGAAGATGTTCCAGATAACTCCCAAACATTACAAGCTATTGCCATTGCCCTTGGTTGTCCCTCAGAACTTGATAAGATCCTATTGCTTAAAGTACCACCCAGTTTGGTCATAAGACATGGAGAAATGAGTTGGTAGTGACCAGAAGATATTCTCTCTGCATAGAAGGTGTTGTACAAGCTACTATTTGGGGAGGGGGACTAGCTGTTTTAATCAGCTGTGAACTCTTGTAGCTACAGTAATAATAAGTTTGGCAGGATATGCCCATGCGTGAAATAGTGGCATATATTCTATAGGGGTAAACAACTGCTTTCTGATTGGATTTAAGGCCCATTTCACAGGAGGAAATTCATGTCTTCTTAAGAAATTGAACCAGGAACCTCAGGCTGAGAAGTTGATGGTTTTAGGGGTGAGGCTACTACTATTATTTTGCTAAGTGTTAATAATATCTAGCCTGTTGACTAAATTGTATCTCTATATACATAGACTAGTGAGGCTCTCAGATATTATCAGAGAAGTTTCTTGGTGCAGAGGATGGTGGTTACTCCCAAAACTCACCACTGGTTAAAGCGTAGAGAACAAATCTCTATGGTGTGCTCAGCTATAAACAGGATATCAATATCACCTTCCTCCCAAAGTTCAGAAATCATGTACAAAAAGGGGCTAGGAGATCAGCGAGGCTCAGACCAAAACACTGCCTCCTTGTAATGAAAGAAGAACTGCAGTCATAAACTCAAAGCAACTTGGCTATACAAGACCTGCATTGGAACAAGCCAGTCAACATTCCAACATGGAGGAGATGGGCTGACGTGGCTCCTTCCCGAACTGATAGGCTTCTGACAGTTGATGCTGCTAGGCAAGGGGTGTCACATTTCTTTAATGTTGTGGACTCTGTTAGTTCTACCATGTTTCATTAGATGTCCCTACCCCTGTGAGTATATGGCCAACGTAGACTGGAGAACGTGAAGTTGGGAGAAGCTCTGAGAATGGTGGTCTGGGACGAGGTAGGGAAGTTGTGGGGGACGGATATGACTAAAATGCAAAGGTAAACTGATATGAAATTCTCAGAAAATTAATAACAATATTATATTTTATGAATCACTAACTTCACAGAGGGCATAGCTGCTATGAGATGAAGAGTGGGGGACAACCTAGGAAGTTGATATACGTGAAGACTTTTTATTTATAATATATATGCTTATTTATAGGGCATTTTATTCTATATTAAGTAACAGTATTCCCAGTTTTAAGTTACTTTGTAATGTTCAGGTTGACATTATTTGTTATACAATATAAACAGTTCTCTGCTAAATATCAAAAAACCCAACGTTACTCATATCAAATAACTGTGGAATGACACTCCCAGATGATCAGTGTGTCCCAGGGGCAAGATTACATATCTTTGTTCACAAAATACCCCCTTCTGATGCATTCTGCTCATATAGAACCACACCTTCTGTACTTCACACTGCCTGACACTACCTTGTACACTTTATACAAAAAAAAAGCTTTGGATAAAATGAATTTGAAATGGATTAAGAGAACAAAGGCTGTTACTCAGGGCATGCCTATGGCTGTATGGAACTCATGCTAGGGCAGAGTTGGGAAAGCAGCTTGTGTCTGAGTAAGCCTCTCTGCCCAGAAGTAGCAGAAAGAGTGTCAGAAAGAACATCACTCCCTTCTGAAGAGAAAATGGTGCCTCGAGTTATAAGAGCACCATGTGTGTGGGTTAAAGTCTTGAGAAAGTACCTAAACACCAGTCCCACTGGATACTTGTGATGGAAAGATGACGAAGTGCTGAGCTCAGTGCACATTCCAAACCGGGGTATAGCACTGATGTGCACTCAGTATTGTTCTCATTTTCCTCTTGTATTGCCCTAGCTAGGTATTTCTTCGTTAAGGAATAAGTAGAGACAGCTCATAAGCAGCACATTGTTTTGAATACTCTGTATGCTGAGAAAACGATTCGTGATGCGTATTTTAATTTCAATAAACTATATTTACATATATACATTCCAAAGCACATGTAGCTCAGGTTGTTCATCTGTAGCCATTGTCCCTTTCCTTCTGGAGCATATTACAGCATCTAAAACTCGGTTCCAAATCCTTGTCTCTACATCTTCCAAGAAAAGTTACACATACCACATGGATGGCATATCTAGACACCACACACTTTTGGCATACGCTCAAGAATTTGCGAGCATAGCTATTGCAATACACGGTCCCATGGAGTTCTGGAATTTCTGTATATCCTGAGTGGCACACAACCTTGGCATGGTAGTCCTAATTCATGCTTGTCTTGGGTAAGAAGGTAAAGGTAGGATGTAAGAGGTAAAGCATAAATTTCCACAAACAGGAGAGTGTTCCTTATGTAGAACTGCTGCCCTGTTGCACCTTAACGTTTGCACAGACTACTAAGAAGCAACTGAACTGGTGCTGCGTCCTTCTGCTGCATTAGAGAGAAAAAAAAACTTCGGGCTTGAGCCTGTAAGGCTGCTAAGTTCAGATGGTGGACAGCAGACAGCATACTACAATCCAAAAGTAAATAACGGTGAGTTGATGCTTACATCCTCCATGATGACAAGAGCCTTGGGTTTTCATTTTGTTTTCTGGACAATTTTCAGGATACTTAAAAACTAGAAGGACCCAAACAAAAACTCATAATATAGTGAGGTTGAAACAGATGGAATTTGCAGGAAGATTACAGGAGACACAACCAGTAGTGAAAATACTTGCAGAAATCTGAACAGATGTCCTCTGGAGTCTCTTCCTTAATCTTAAATTACACAATGCCCAACTTCAAAGTCCACCAAGGAGGAGACAGTGAAGTCTCATACAATGAATTCATCCATATTCCCACACCCATTCTGAAAGCCTGAGGCTTTCAGTGTTGACCTAAAGCCTGCAGAGGAAAAGCTACTGTTGATCCCACCAATTGAGAACAAAACAATTACCACAGCTTAAAGTCAAATTCGAAACAAGCTTTAATTAAATACTGGCCAGGTAGAAAGGTTCTGGACAGGCTCATCTCCGGTTTCCCAGGAAAAAGGCCATGCATTAAATTTTGCAGTGGCTTGAGTATTTCCAATCAGGTCCAATCAGAGGCAAACATACATACTGACATATTTCCTGCCTGGAACCCTCCCTTCTATGTGTGATCAAATATGTCTGGTGCAGATGGGTCAAACAAATTTGTTTAAGGTAGGGAAAACATGTGACTTGTTATCTCCCATAAACAGTAGCCTCCGGTATTTCAGGAGCTATGTCTTTGGGCAAGGGGCTTGCAGATCAGAGGCAGTTTTGTGTCATGGATCCCTACGGAATAGTCATTAAAACTTAAAATTATGTTACTTTGGATCTCATGCTACTCTGGCCAGTCAAAACCTGGCTTAAAAATAAGGTTAAAAAAGGTCACACTGATATGGATATTATTTCACTGCCTCCCATAACTAACACCAGCACTTACTGAAAAGAAATGAACCAATGAAAACAATTGTTTTGGGGCCTGAGAAATGACTCATCAGTTAAGAGCACTGATTGCTCTTCTAGAGGAACTGGATTTGATTCCAAATACTTACATGGTGGCACACAACTTTGTCTATAACTCCAGTCCCAGGGAATCCAGCATTTTTTTATGGCCTCTCTGGGCACTAAGTATGCATGTGGTTCTTAGACATACATGTAGGCAAAACACCAGGACACGGGCATAAATAATTTTAAAACATAATTGCATTTGTGTGAAAATTCCCTATCTCAAATTAAATATGCACTAAACTAGAGCAGTATGGCATTGCCTAAAAGGAATGATAAACCAGTTACTAGAAATAGTCCAGAATTAAAATGATGGTAAAACCAGCAAAGACTTTAAATGAATAATGATATAAATAT